CCCCCCCCCCCCCCCCCTACCAATGAAGAAAGAAAAAAAAGTGAAATAAAAAAAAATGTAAAACAATGTACAGTATACATGTATTGTATATTTTTTGTATATCCTAAATGTACATAAAAAAATATTTCCTCCTGTGTTCACTGCACAAGCATTAAATGCTCACACAAGTGAATTCAATGTCATTTGACTTTTTAGCTATTGCAAGCCTGTGAAAAAGCTGCTTTGTGGTGCTAATTTGGCCTTTATCAACCCACCTTAATCTTATCTGAATATTAAGCTAACACTTCACGCAAGACATTTTTCTTTCTTGCGTGCGTGCCACGAAGTAAACAATAAACAGTAAACATAATGTGTGGAACCGAGACATCCCTGAAATAAAAAAAATAAAAAAACACTGAGACTGAAGAGGATTTAGGGAGAAAAGGCCTGGAGATCCAAATTTTTAAAATGGCATGCTTTGGAGATGCCTTAAACCTGCACGTTAATTTGCACACTAGTATAGATGTACTCCCCATTGGCAAGGGCATGTGGCCTGGTATGGTTTAAGTGGAGGGGGTGCACACTTGTTGCCCTCCCTTTCCTGGCCAGCTAGGCTGCATGCTATTTTTTTCTATTTTCTTAATGGCACAGTACACATTTCTTAATGGCACAGACTCCCGATGACATGACAAAGCTGCCCTGCCGCTACTTCCATCGCACATGACAGGTCCCCAGTGCTGCTAAAATATAAACAGCATTTATAAACTTTTCTTTTGTCTTTATCAAAGTTTAAGCAATACAAAGTGCTCAGTAACACACCGAGGTACAGAAATATAACCAATGATAACAACCAAAATAGGCATTTTGAAAGAGGTGCAGACGCCATACGGCATAGGTAGAGAAACAATGACAATAATATTGCTGATCTGCAAACAGGCTGGGTTCCAGTTGAATGCTTGTTCAACCCGAACCCCGAAAGCCAATCCCTATACATGAGTAAGCTTTTTCTACAGTCACTAACATGCTCCCAGCTATCCTCAGGGCTACACGATTTCACTTGTACATGGATGGAATGTAGTGGTCATTGCCAAATTCAGAGAGGAGGGCAGTTTGTCCTGCCTATGTACTGCAATCTCAGTCTGCAAAACAGTAAGCGTGGTATTGTATTATCATCGGCACATGAAAGGTCGTTAGTGGTTCACATGGATCCGTCATCAGAGCTGTTTTTCAAATTCCCACTCTGTGTTTCACAAATACCTCTCCACATCCTACTGTGCTGCTGGGAAATGTGGTCCGAGAGAAGATAACCCATCTCTATGCTGTGACATGGCTATTCTCCTGAATCCCTCCCATACATCAGCAACATTACTCTCTCTCTCTCTCTCTCTCTGAAGGTGAAATCATAGCAGTAAGCAATATTTGGGGCAGGTTTCACTCACTACTAAAAGTACATTTACAAACTATTATAGTCACATTTAAAACATTTTTTTTGTCTGGCTTCATTACTTTTTATTTTCTTGACAGCTGCAGTTCGGTATTAAATACATAGATTTAGGTTGTGACCTATTTACATTTCTTTCTTTAGTGTTGAATTGTTATTACCATAATACCCAAAGATCTATTTTCTGTTATTACTTACATTATATTTCTCCCCCATGCTGCAGCAGAGAAGGAATCAGGTGACCATGCATGGTGTATTGTCTATGTCAAGATGTGTGATTTTTGTAATTTCAGTTACATCGATATTTGTGAGAATATACGAGGAGCTTGTGATTTTTATCTTCTGACTTTGTATACTGCATTTGAAGGGAACAATGGGCTATGCCCTGCATTACTGCATTGCAGGAACAATTAACACAGTTGTGTATAAAATAATATGCAATATGCGTGGAAAAATGTTAGAAAGAATCTTTTGGTCAATTTTGCCATCAAAGCGACAGATTTAGTTCTCAGTGATTGGGCTGCCAGATAGACTGTGTATTTTCTCCCATCTGCAGTAATTGCAAGCACCTCTTTTGCAAGTTAGTTTAACCACAAATTTGTTAAACAAAAAAGTGCCAAGTAGCACTATTTAAATAGATACAGATATTCTGTTATGCATCTTGCATATGATTAAAAAAAAAAAACTTTCTCTAACTTGCAAAATATAAAATATATAGCATGAGACAGATTAGCAACCACAATCATTAAAGTAGAACCATGGGGTCAGTGCTTTTCCCCATAGTTCTCCCCAGGCTGTACCCGCCCCCTCCACGTCCGTTCCGCCAGTCAGCGCTGGAGTATTGGACGGGGGAGGGGGGGAATCTCTGCAGGGAGCTGTGAGTGATGGTCACGGCTCTCTGCAGGGACGAGAAGTGAGCAAGCGACGGTATGTGTTCCTCACTTCCCGATCTATTGAGCCGACATGTGACAATTTAATTGTCACACGTCGGCTCGAACTATGAGGCTGAGTGATTTTCACTGACCTCATAGTTCTCCTTTAAGACAGTATTGACAAATGTTCCTCAATAAGGTATTTTTTAAGGCAATTTGTTGTTATGCCATTTACTTGTAAATATGTTAGCATTTACCTTTTGCAGCCAAAGCAACAGATTTAGTTCTGCCTGGTTGCCTGGACAAATACGGACTGTATGCCTATTTTCTTAGCTGTGCTACCACCATAATCTAGAACGCGTCAATGAGAAGGCTCACGGGCCAGAAACAGCCCACTATAAGACTTTATTAGGCCCACCAGTCCAGAGCTTTGTACCAGCAAGCAGGGTTTTTTTTATTACTAGCCGGCGCTTGGAGTGGCAATTTAGCCAGCTGCCGCACCTCCACCCTCCTTCCTCCTGGACCGCATGTTTCTTCTCACTTGCATGTTTCTTTACAGCCGCACCTCCCTCCTAGGCGGCAGGTTTCTAGTCACCAGCACGTTCCTCCTTGCCTCTGCCTGTGGTCTCAGCAGCTACTAGTAAGTCCCGCTGTGTGTATCCAGGACTGACTGTGTCTAAGGGCACTACAAGTGTCAGAAGCCCTGTCCATTTAATGTGCCTTCACACACAGCAGTATCATGTAATGAACAGGAACTGCTGACACTTGTAGTGCCCTTACACACAGGACACCAGGACAGTCATATCATCATTATATGACAGTCGTGGTGTCCTGTGTATGAGGGCACAACAAATGTCAGCAGTCCCTGTCCATTATATGACAATCCTGGTGTCCTGTGCATGAAGTCACTACAAGTTTTAGCAGTCCCCGTCCATTTAATGGACAGGGACTGCTGGCACTTCTAATGCTCTCACACACAGGATTGTCATATAATGATTAGTGGGCCCAAGCTCTGTACCGCGGCAAGAAAGTAAAATAAAAGGTACTGTTTTGTTAGGTGATATTAAAGTCCGGCCCCTAATTTTATTCGCAACCCTTAGCATGGCCCTTTGGTTTTGACACCCCTGATCTAGAACCTGGGTCTCCTGTTATTATGAGGTCATCGTCATTGGAGACTTCTTTAGCTCCATCATGTGAGGCCGAGGCCTTCCGTGTCCACAAGGACCTTTGTCCATTTTGGACTTTTTGTCTGTTTGTGCCCCATTACTAGAGCAATCTGCTTGCAGAGGCTCTGACCGTGCTCCTGTGCCATCCCCGGCAGAGTCTAGCTCTGACCTTTTATAACTCTCCAACTCTCCAGCTCAAAGTAAGCATCCAAAACAAGAATGCTGAGCAGTGGCCATTGGTTTTAGCCGTTAGTGAGTCTTAGGAGGGCAATTTCTGTGGTGTGTTGTGAATGAAAGCCAGACTGCAAGGGGTCAAGAAGGTTGCTATCAGTAAACTACCAGCTCTGATGATTGTAGATTAAGCATTCTAGGAGTTTGGAGGTAAATCGAACCAATGAGATGGGTTTTAGGTTTTTCAGACTGGTGTGGTTCAGTGATGGCTTTTTAAGTATGGGGGTTGATCAGTGCATGTATCATAGAATAGAACAAGTAGTTATGAGGGATTGGAGCCCAGTGGGTAGGTAGTGAGGCAGCTGTCTGGACAGTGGAGATCTCATCACTAATTGCATTTATCTTTTTTTTATTTTTATGATTGGCAATGTCCAGGATGGTGACTAAGTTAGTGGGTGGAGGCAGTGGAGGACAAAGTAAAGAGTTAAACATAAAAAAGTTCATGAGGACTGGATCAGAGGGTGTTAATGACTACAGTATGAGAAAGTAGGTCTATTTGGAAGCATGGGGTGATTATTGTAAACTGTGCTCTGCAATATCCTGTTTAAAGCAACATTACTGGTTCTAAAACAAAGCAAAGGCATTAACCACCATTAAACATTTAAACCACAATTAAACATTTCTATAAGATAACTTGTATGTTGATCTTTAATTTTACCCACTCTTAGGCTGGGCACATACCTTACAACCATCTCAAGACTTTTGTCTTGCGATGGTTGTAAGGTACTTAAAAAAACGTATGATCTGCCTATCTTGGACAGGCAGATCGTACTTGCGATGATCGCAAGGCGCGCCCCCCTGGGGGGTGGGCTTCCGATGACCGCAATGCCGAACGGGACCGTCCCGTCTGGCTTTTATCGTACGAACATGCTACACACCCGCCGAACATCGTACGATGCTCGGCGCGTTTTCGAACATGTTCGTAAGTTAAAAGTCGTGCGACCTTACAGTAGTAGAGGTTGCACGGCTTCCACACACCTTACGATAATCGTACAATCGCGGGAATTCGTACGATTATCGCAAGGTGTGTGGGGACCTTAAGGCCTGGTTCACACCTAGGTGTTTTTAAGCAGTAGAAAACGCGCTTCCCAACACAAGAAATCCCATAATTTTTAATGGCTCCTGTTCACACCCGAGCAGCAAAACGCTAGCAGAAAAATGCCAAACACAGAAAAAAGTACATGAGCTTCTTTTGGCAGTTTCAGCTCGTTTATCCCCCACAGACTTCAATGGAAATGCCAGGAAACACACGGCAGAAGCATGTTGCGCATTTTCATGCACGTTTTTGCACGTTCGTCTATTGACCGCAATGTTTCTTGAGCTGGCAGTCAAAACGTGCGTCTTCATGTGCATGTGTTTTTGCCCACGCAAAAAATTTGCAAAACATGCAAAAAAAGCTAGCTGAACCTGCACGTACAAATGCGCAAAAACGATGATGTGAACAGGGCCTTAATGACCTGAAGGTTTTTCACAATTTGAAAGGTATCACAGTTTGTCAGACAATTAGCTTTGGGGACTGAAGGATCTGCAGATCTGAACACAGCAGGCAGGATCAGAGGAATATAAAGAGCAAACTGATGAGGCAACCAATTTCCCAAAGTCTGTTAATCTCTAAATCTGATGATAAAAGCATGGTTGCAGATCACACTCATAATTAAAAGCCATAGGTGAATCCTGAGGGAGTCCACCTACTGGAGTTGAGTCCCCCTTCCATTGCCAGAAGAACTAGAAGAGTGTTCATGGTGTCTGCTCAGCTGGTAGGCAGCTTCAATATTGATATAGCACAGCACCAATGCGCACTACTGCCAGCTCTGCACCTCCCAGTGACTAGTCTACACTCTCTCTTGATTCCCTGACACACACTGTCCCTTAAATATCACAGCTCAACTGCATACTGCTCTTGGCTCTGCAACCCCAGTCCACACTCTCCTGGCTCCTGTGCACACACCTGCCTTCCTCTTGTCCTGGCTCCTCGGCACACTACAACATGCTTTCCGTACATCAGCCCTCAGGCAGTTTATTGGCTCCCCATTACCGCTATTACTGCAGTCAAGAAATATTAGCTCCTTCACCTACAGATCCCAGCTCCTCCACACAGCAGCTGCCATGACTTTGCCACAAAGGAGAGCACTGTATTTTTAGCAGCTCTGCCACAAAACACTCTATTCAAGGTCACCAAGGCCCAAACACCAAGATTAATGCTGACGGAGTGACCTGATGGGGTTTGGAAAATAGGATGAGGAATGAGGATCCATTGGGAGGAGTAATTAACCTCTTGCCATCCGCCCGTAGTAAAAAAACGGACGGACGGCACTGCAGCATCTGCGGGTTGCCGTCTCCAGACGGCAATACTATATATTGTAAAAAAATAAAACCCCCAGTGGTGAATAAATACCACCAAAAGAAAGCTCTATCTGTCCCCAAAAAAGGGTATAAAATTCATTTCAGTACAGCGCTGCATGACGGAATAAATGTCAGTTAAAGTACCGCAGCGCTGAATACTGAAAAATGGCCTGGATGGGAAGGGGGTTTAACACCGCGGATGTCAACTGGTTAAAGAATTTACTTTTTTTTTAATGTCCCTTTGTGCTGAAGCTTGTGTGTCTATAAGAATCTTATTTGTGCCACTGTCATTGAAGAGTACTTTGCGAGTACAAGGACTCTAGCATACATGTGTGTTGTATACATGAGTAGGCTCAGACTCTAATATTCAATGTAATTCAAGCAAGTCCACTGTTATTCAGAGTGCACATAGTGCACTGCTGGTCCTACTGTACCTGAGGTGTCTCTTTCTCAAGTTCAGAGGTATGGTGGGAGTCTGAAAGGTTGTGGTCAGCCTGTCAACTAGTCTTTATGAGGTCCCATGATTTCTAATAGCGACCCTTTCTGGCACACCCAATTTCTTACAAAATGTTTTTGCCATACTAGACTCAAAACGTTGCCTACCCCTGCAATACAAAAAGGAATAGGTCAAACCTGACACACTTGTAGGCCACCTTCCTCTGTAGGTATCAAATACTTATGTTAAATGATCACATTGCATGATTATCCCCCCGTGTTTACTAGGGAGCATGCTAGAATACTGGACTACTGTTACACTGGGCAGGCATGCTGTGTTCCATGTATGCTTTTTAAGTTTAAATTTAAGAGTAGTGTCACATTAAAGCTGTCCAACAGTAAAATGTTGGTGGCTTAACAACATTAATCTTTTTTAAGCATCTTTAACAGCTGCCATAAATCATTATCTCAGTGAAACATTTTCCTTATCCTGGATATCCTTGGTTGATACTGCTGTTGGTTATTTACCAGAAAAGTAACCCCTATGAAATTGTGAATTTTTCCTGCAGGTCACATTCTGTCATCTGAGCCCTTCAAACCAAGGAAGGTGCCCCATGACCTAAGCGATATTCTCCCAAAATTGTATTAAATGAATATCAGGGAGTTCACCGATCATTGGATTTCTTTTATTGAGTTTATCAGACACCAACAGTTATATATTAAAAAAATGTTACTGCAGCCTGTACTGTTTGTGCACATTACAAAACTCATAGAGCTGTATTTCGATGATTTCACATGCCTCATAAAAACATGCAGTACAGTATATGAATTTCATCTCTGATCTATTCCCCAAGTAAATGGTGAACCAATTTTTGTCTAAGATAACTGCTTAAAAAATGCAGCTTCCCAAAATGTCCGAGCTAATGGGCTACCTTGTTCTATTGTTTCAGGTGGAGGTGCAGTTTACTCTTCTGTATGGCCCATTTTGATTATTATATATTGAACTGTTTTTCTTCTTGGTCTACTCTATCCTTTGTACACATTTACCAGATTAACCAACTTTTGGACTAAGCATGTACAATTATGTTTCTACTTGCCAAAATTACTGTACTGAGTTGATTTAAAAGGCAGAGTTTACAAACCTCAATCACATCAGCAAATAAACTGAATCACTGTCATTGACGGTTAACAATCAATACCCTGCTCCTCAGTTAGTACCTAAAAACAGAGTTTGATAAACATTAGTTTTAAACTAATTTCTAACTGTGTACTCCACCTCATTGCACTTTATATAGTACTAAACGCAGTTAACCCCATTTCCTACAAACTCAAGATATCAACATTGAATGTGTACAAATTTTTGCTAGACAGAAAATTGTTGCTAGGCAATTCACTGATACTGTTCTACTGGCCCTTCTGAGTGACATCAGCATCAGGTGGGAGATTAAAAGGCCTACACAATGCAACCACTGCCGTGCCCTCAGTAAGCTCCTGATTTGGGGTTTTAAAGCTTTAAATTAGATCTTTAATTGGCCTAATTGTGCGAATATAAAAAACGTAGACGTTAGTTTGATATTTCCTTTTTTTTGTTTGCCCTTACTTGAATCAAAAATTTTCGTCGGGTCGGCGTCGTTTTTTTAAAAAATTTCGACGAGTCATCGTGGACAACGCTGGACCTTGGAGGTAGTGTGCAGAATAGCCGAGCCGAATGCCGCTTGGTGGCATTCAGCTATTCACTCACTGCCGTTTGGCCCCTTATGAGAATAGGGGCAAACAGCAGCAAGTGAACTACCGGAGCTTTGGCTCATCCGATCCAGATGTTGGATCGGCTGAGTCGAACTGTTTCTGCACTTCGGCTCAGCCAAACATGCAGGGCATGTTCGGCTGACCGAAGGCAGCCGAAGTACGGCTGATTTTAGCCGATGTACGGCTGAAATCAACCATACAGAGCTGAAGCGAATAGCCGAACGCCACTCGACTCAGTTCACTTTAGCTCGGAAAAATTCACTCGGCTGCCTTTGGCAGCTTAGTGAATAATCATCCTAGTGTTTGTCAGGCACCACAGTACAAAGGTTACCAACTTTTAGCTCAAAGCAGACTCAAACTGTTTTTTCCAGAGCACTGTATGTTTGCCTCACCTGTACTAAATTGCCTTTGAGGGCGTAGTATAAAATCAGGGACTGACTAGAGGTGTGAAATCTGGGTAATACATAAATCACGGGCAGGATTTCTCCCGGCTCTCTGCATGACTCTTCTGGCAGCTATACATTTATTTGTTAAATAAAAGCTAGCAATCAGAATTAAAGAGTGGTTTCCAAACTGGCTCTAATATCTCCCTGTGCAGTTTTTTTTTTAGCTTTCCCTATTTCTCTCCCTGCAGCAACTTCCAATTCTCTGACACCATGGTTGCTCTGAGCTCTTCTTTTCTAATGAGGAGGCTGGCTTATCCAAAAGCCCTCCTTGCTGGCCCAATGGCCATGCAGTGCATTATGGTAAAAAAAAAATTCACACATAAATTCACCAGAACCTAAAATCTGCTGGATTTGCCAGAAATCCAAGATAGCAGCAAACCTCTTTCCAAATCCTGAAACACAATTACTGTAGTGCTAAACAATATATAATTTAACACAAACATTGGAGCAAGAGGATCTACCCTAATAAAACATCTAGAACACCAGAGAACTTTAAAGAACATCTGCTAAATTGACTGCAGACACTAAAGTACTGAATATTTGCATGCAGTCTATGAAATTTGTTAAAGCGATGTAAAGGAATAAAAGTGAAAAATACTTCCTATAAAATACTAAAATCTAACAAAATAAGTGCCTAATACGTGTCATGTTAAAATAAACCTATGTTTGGCTATTTATATAGAATGTAAATATATAATGTATTTTTTAAACTCCCTGTTTACAGAATCAGGGACTAATAAATGTCATAAACATACCATCTCCAATCTCTCTCAGCGCAGTCACAGCTGGGAAGGGGGGAGGGAGAGAGCATGGGTGAAGGAAGGAGTACTTGGGAGCAAGTATCAGGGTAAGCTTCCTTATATGCACTTTTGTGATTTTGCAGTTGTATTTGTTTTGTAAATTCTGTAAGGGTGTGAAATGGCTATTAATCATACACGGAATTTACCGATCAATTTCCTAATCTAAATGAAGTTTTTGGTACATACTAGAAAGCATTCGATTTATCTGGTCATTTATAAATGGATCAGGAAACATTCATATGTTTGTAGGTATATGGACAACCCTCCTTGGTGTACCCTGGCTGAGTCTACACAGAGGAAAATAATTGGTTGGGACTGGTCTTCCCAAATGATCACTACTCTTTACTCCAAATCAACCAATACCTGCAGTGCTCCCTGCTCCATAGGCATAATCATGCAAGCTTGCTCAATGCACTTTTGCATGTTTGAAAAAAGACCTTTTTAGAAAGGTTGTTTAGTGACCTGTTTGTACATAAATGGCTATCCACCATCTAATGTCTATAGGTACGCAGCTTCACCCTTCAACTACCTTTTTTGCATTACATCTGCAACCTATATGCTTTGTATAAGCATTTCAAATCTCTACCATAAAAATGTCCTTTTATCTTATGTGATGCAAAAATGCCATGTAGCAGTTACCCCTTGCTTTCTTATATATTGCATGCCATATTTGTGGGTAACTGGAGTGTGTTCCATTAATAAAGATGTATTTTTGGAATTTGCACTATTGTAGCACATGATTCTAATCACTGTGAAACAAGCAATGAAAGGGATGAAGTGCATGTAAAGCTTTGTGTGACTGACCTTGAAAAATATTGAGCATTTCTGGCTGGGAAAGCTGCTTAAATACTAAACCTGTGACATTTATTTTGAAATTCCTTGCAAATATAGGAAATGCATATTTTGCCTATATTTATTCTTGGTTAAGATTATGATTCTTTAAAGTCACAAACCCGAGCAATTTAAACTGAGCATATGATGCAAAATGCATAGGTGGGAGTTTTTGTTTCAGTGAGGAGTCCAGAAGAAGATCCAGAGGTATAAACAGTTGATTTATTAAAATCTCACTTTTTCTAGTATAGTTGAAATTGCCCCCCACCCTCCGGTAGGGAGGGTCAGTGGGAAGGGCCCAGTTTGACATTTCAGCTGGTGTCTCATTTGCTTTTAATGGAAGCACTTTTTTATGACTTTCCTTTTTGTTTCTTAGATTGTACTGACAGAACTGATTTCTTTATTTCTTGTACACCTATTGACAACTGCATGATTGAATATTTATAGTTCTTACTAAGTACCAATTAATATTGGTGTTGTCCTACCAGTAGCACTCTTAGGTTGAAGAACCAAAACTGGCACCTAATGTGACAACAAACCTAAAAAGATGCCACACTGCAAAAGATTTTCTTTTATATTATGGAAAATGCAACAAAGAGATGCTGTGATGTGTAAAAGTAGGTGGTAATATCAGCAATTCCTATCCAAGACATAGAAGAAGCCATGGACATATTTAGCACACAAGCTTAACCCATAGTTAAAATATCATTTTTGGGTGTACCAACTTTTAAAATGGAAGCAAACCGCAAACTGAGAATAAGATGAACAAAATGCATAAGCACACTTACTTCCATAATGGCATACATTTGAATACACTGTTCAGCAGCTTGCCTCAAAAAGATATAAAGAATGATTGCCTTGTTTAGAGCCATGAATAAATAACTGACTTGTATCTACAAGCCATTCTTTAGTACTTGTTAAATTTGTTCTGTTTGTTACCCTTCAGAATCTATGAATCAAGATGATCCTTCAAAAAAACTAAGGGATGTTATTCATCTTGCTGAGCTTTGCATTGAGGTTCTGCAGCAAAATGAGGAACATCATTCAGAGGTAAAAATGTACATTTCTTCTTCTGTAAGTAACATTTTCAACAGTAAGCTAATAGAAAACAAGCTTTTTTGAACGTGTAAACTGCCTGATACTGGACAGGATGAAGGTGTGTTGCTTGGAACAAATGGAGTACTTTACAACATCTGGTTTATTTCACATTGTAAATGATTTTTTTTACCCTGCATCTGCCATGTGTGAACAAGTTCTTGAATTTTATTTTATATTGAAGAAACATCTGTCTCTAAAATATGAAAATAAATCCCTGGAGGAAATGTTCTTCTAAAGAAAAATCATTGGTTTGTTATGTTTTTTTCTTTAGTGTTGCATAATATATGAGAATTAAAAGTTTTTTACATGAGTTTTTTTCATAGAGACT